CATCCAAACCACTTGAGTTCTAAGAACGATCACTGCATTGAACAATCAGGGATTATATACAATGATTGTGTGTACAAACTTATGTCTACACAATCCTTTTCCAGATATTTAACGTCTGAAACGCTTTCATTATTGACAAACATCGGGAGGGGTTCGTGCGGTACCTGGGTGTTTGACACCCCGTCAAACAATCTCGCTAAGGCCCAAGAGATGCCCAAATTGATGGCACTTGGCGGGTGACGTGGAGGGTTATATGGATAAAGTTCAAATTGTTTTTATCGGGATGGTAGTCGGCCGGCGCCCTCGATAAGCCATAGATTAGCTCTGCCGACCAATGTCTGTTAATGGTGTGAAGGTAATGAAATTTCATATAAACTGTATAGGCTGACGTAGGTTGATCAGTTTCAAACGCCTTTTAGAATGAATGCGCATGGTCCAAATTAACAAAGCCAGTCGTTTTTTTAACTGTAATGTCAAGAGATAGGTTTTGATTTTACGTTCATTGTCATTTTTATGATGGCAGTGATCTTTTATGATGTTTTTACTTTTAATGATTTTGGGGAACCTCGGTGTTGCCTCGGGTTTAACCTCCACTAAGGTTGTGACATTTTGATATAAGCATTTTGATTGACATTGATGGTACTGTCATCTGTTCACTAGAGTCTATTTTGTTATTTCTGATAGCGCGAACTTAATAACAGATCTAAGTATATACCTTACAGTTATGTAAAAAGCATTACTTATATTCTGAGTAATATATCAAAGTTATGTTCTTTCACAATGTTATAAAAAAACACTGATAAAATTAGTTTGAAACTCTTCATGAAATAAGATAGACATGTAAATATGTCTCAAGCGTTCATAACACATGAAATTATGTATAATTATACATATTTTTCAGATTCATCTGACACATTTGATATACCTGCCAGATCAGATGCAAGACATATCTTTTACTTTTAGGTAGATCTTCAATTCGTTTAAAATACAGCGTTTAATTTAAAACATTGGAAATAGTCATTGTGTGTCAGGGTGCATTATTGACACCCCGCCCTTTGAATAATTTCAGTTATACTCGGTCAAATATCATTCAGTGCATATAAATACATATTTATCGAATTTACAAAAGTTGAAATATGCTGTGTGTAGTATTTGATCGGTTTGACACATTGATCGGGCGGTTAACGTGAATCTCTCTCAAACATTATGTAAATATGCATACAAAAACTGCAAATAACGCTACAATATCAATTTATATCGAACGCCGACAGAAAAATAGCATGAAACTAGCTTTATATTCATATTTGATTTCCCTTATTGCTCTGTCTGGCAACTGCGTCTCTTATGTGGAGCAAGTCAAAAGAGTTTATTCTTTTAGTTTTGAGGCTAAAACAATGATAATGAAAGAACAATACAGATTAATTTGCGTAACTGTAAAAATATTAAATTCCTGAATGATATTCATTGCGAAAAGAATCAATTGATGTACATGTATACTAATGTTAAGAAAAGCGACACAATCTTTGCCATAGCAACAAGAAACCTCATCTAAAACTGGTGCTGCGGTATCTACGAAGGAGATATGGTTCATTATGAAAAACCAACATGAAGTACAAGTTTGGATGCTATTTATACACTTGAACTTACCATCCCCCAAACGTTGATTTTGTTTGAAGAAATCAACTTTCAAATCTGAAAACTCTCTCAACCAAACTCGAGGAATTACGATATTTATCTGATAACGAGCTTTCAATCGGCTGGTTTAACCTATCGAATTTCTTTTATTTGTTTATGTTCTTTTATCGAACACTAAACACTCAGCTGTCACAACCTTTGATATCAAGTATGTTCATTTTAATAATTGTTTGATATTTCAATGTAAATTTACATAGCTGTGTCATTATTTTAGTTCATACCATCAAAGACCCTATAAGTAGGACACATGTCGATTTTCATAAGTTGAGAAGTACATCATAGTGACATGTGACACTCGATATATCTCAGGATATCATCATCAAAACACATGACTAAATGAAGGAAGTATGATTGATATATTATAAAATGTGGCGTTGACAAAACACATGAAATTGATTTATTGTGTATTTGTCTTGTATACTTGTATATATATTGAATATACTAAGATATGATTTACTAATCACGGCGTTACAGGGAGACTTTTGCAGAACATCTGACATTTACCCCCAAATGGTAAAGAGCTCTTGCATTTTTTTCGTGTTGAATGCAAAATGATGGTTTTAGTTTTCGATTAGTACACAGTAATATTTTCCAAACCAATTGGAAACCTGATAGTATGTGATTTCGAATATATTTTCTCTATGGCTTCGTTCGTGTTTGAATTTTGTTACAATATATTTGATTTTCAAATGTATGTAATACGCTATTAATTTATATATCATTTATGATATTTAAACATCAATGTAAAGACCTAATTAATGTGAAAAGATGTTATATATACATGTTTGAATATGCTTTGAATCTGAAATATAATAAAATGAATCAGTTTCATAAACATAATGTGCAATGTATTTATATGAAAAAGAAATGAAACATAATGAAATAAATGTGGTAAACACAAACTGAAATTCAACTCTTGGGGGTTTTACAAGGTATTAATAAACAGTAATTAATAACGTCGACAACAATGGCAAACGAATGCTTACACAGTTTCACATGGCGAGGGTGTGTCTACATTAAGTAGCGCCAAATGTTTCGAAAGATTCTTTAATGATTAAATCGTTTCTGTACTCTGCGATAGAAGGGAACAATAATGATAGCAGAAATCTGAAGGGTCTCCTTGCCGGTGAAATTGACACTTGTATATTTCTTTCAGAAGATGGACTGCATTGCAATGATAAGAAGGAATAAAGTGTAACTCACGTACATTCAAATGACATAATCACTCGTGTTTATTTCAGATTATAACTGAATCCCTTCCGTATGTAAGAGTGCCCTTGCAGCTGCTCTTGAAATAGTCAACACTAAAACAGATGACAATTTGAAAATGTATACTTCAGAGGAAACGGTCAAGATGATTGACATTTGGTGCTAATTTTAGTGTGAAATGTGTTTGTTTTGTCACGTATGGCCTTTACTATCAGGACTCACGCGTCTCTGGTTAAAGTGTTTATTTCACCCACGATCGGAGTGAGTGTTAATGATAATCACAGAAGGAAATGTAGAAAGTATTTGGACCGCGGTGGACTTATTTCTAACAAGAAATTGCTAATTGGAATTGACATATTTCCTGATCGCCACTCTTTGGGCTGTGGTGAAATTATACAGTGATGATGAGTGAGTGAGTTAAAATTTTAAGTCACACAGACATTATTTAAGCCATATCGTGACTATTGATGATGATGATGATGATGATGATTATGGTGTCGTGGTTGTTGTTATGATTATGATTGTGATTAGGATTGCAATAATAATTATGAAAATTGGGGTGATGATGCCGACGACATTAACGATGGTGATGATGATGGGATGATGATGACAGAGTTGCACGTGCTCTCCTGTGTATATCTGTACTGCTTGCATTCGTTTCAAATCCGTACTGCTTGTTTTCGTTGGAAATGTGTACATTTGTCATTATGAATTCATTCCAGTTCACTGTGGTTACTTGCTGTGTCATGTTATTTTATATTATGTTGGTCATCTATATTTTATTGAAACTGTTACTGAAAAAAATATATATAACGTAATGCAAAAGAATACATAGTCTTAAATATCCTCAAAAACAATTTCCATTTAATGTAAAGAGCAAAATACCTGTGACAATCATATGAGTGATCGAGTGAGTGTTTAGTTTTACGCCGCACTCAGCAATATTTCAGCTATATAGGAAAATCATATGAATGGACCACTGAAAATCAGTGACGACACCGGGTGTTCGCGAAAATATTAAGAATGTCCTGTCTTTCATTTAGACAATTTCAGTAAATATTTGAAAAGACGCTACAATCTGACTATCGCAACCTTATCCTATATGGTGTCACTAGTGCCAAAACTTTAAACAAAATACTAATATCCTACCCAACAACACCACACTCCCAGTCCCAAAATCATCCAAAATATTCATAATTAAATTACCAAACCTTCATAATCAACCTGAAAACCTATTCCGACTGACATCAAGGTTAAAGTTCTGCCTACAGAGACACAAGACGCATGCTTAAAATTTCACTTCAATTTGCTTTTGATCCCAGCATTTTATCTATATCTTTGTCAACCACACAGAGGTTCAAATGTGTATGCTTGGATAACATTGATGAAATCTACAAATCTCTTTATCTGATTCATTTGGACGTTCTGGGCCTGGAACTAAAATGTTTCAGACAGCTTCTACTTCTTATCTCGCTGGGCAGTCTTCCGTTGACAAAACAAGCCTACAAGTACCAAGTTAGAGCGTAGGAAATCGTTGAACTTGGGGGCAGAATATTTCCTCGTTACTTAAGGACTGGCGCACGCATATTATAGTAATTGGTGCGCATTAACAATGCTTATTACAATTCCTTATATAATGTCTTGTCGTTTGGGAAATAGTATTGGAAATGAAAACGAGGCTCTCTTTGAAGCGTTTTACTTGGACCCTTCCGAGTTGGGTGAAATCTGAGCCCTCTGTCAGATTAGTTCTTTCATAATGAGTCTCGCTGGCGCCTGATTCGGAAAAAGTTACTGGGTCTAGTTTTAACAAAGGAAATTACAAAAACTTGACCTTCAACTATTGTTCTCCTATAAATAATTATCAATCAGAAAATATGAACCCTATAGGTTATATATAGGAAATGCAAACAATTAGTAAAGATATTTTAAATTTGCAATTATACAATAAATATATTTGATCTTTTGATCTATGACACCATACATAACAATGTTTTCAAAATATGTTCGAGATTCATAAATAAATGTATTTATTGATGATATTAGTAGCACTAGTATTCATCATGTTTTTTATTTCAAATTTGAATTTACTATTTCAGTTGGTCCCAAGCCACCGTTCCTCTGGAACCCGTTTATTCAGAGGCCAATGCATAAAAGAAAAGGCGGTCAAGTGAGGTTTTCTAACGAACAGACTGTTGAGCTGGAGAAGAAGTTTGAAACTCAGAAATACTTAACACCACAGGAGAGGAAGAGGCTCGCTAAAGTATTACAACTCACAGAGAGACAGGTTTGTACAAGATAAGAGTGTCTTGTCTGAACAATTTAGTTGTTTTACTAAACTTCCCGTGTTTTACCACCATTCAAATTCACACTGTCGGGTACAAGAATGTATATACCGATAGTTTCGACAAATAAAACTGACAAGGAATGGTTATTCAATCGTAATGTATTTAATACAGGTACCACACAGATGTGTTTTGGACCTTACGTTGTCAAGGATTCGGCGACTATTTTAGCCGAGTGACGTTTGGAAAGTTTTGATTGTTTGGTCAAAACCTTGAAGGAAATGCATTCTGGTGCCCGGGAGTATAGTATTATAAATATGACATTGAAAGATAATTCACTAAGATATTCGATAGGGTATTCAGAACCATCTCTCGAAATGAATTAATAGTAATTTTGAAAAACACTTCATACAAGTATTTGTGACTGTGACTGTGACTTTCGCTGGTGTCAGCAAATTTTCTCATCACCTGAACCTAACAAACTGATATCAAAACAGTATCAGCGTTGTTAGAAAATGATGAAATGCATCAAAATACGGATGTCAAGTTCCCCAGGGAGTTGAAAGTGAAAATGCAGTGTACACTGATCCATTAACAAGGATGAAAATTAAATAGTAATATGACCATTCACTTGGCAAGTCTGGCGCCTTATACATGCACTTCTTTTTCTTCTATTAGAGAGTCTAAATTCAAATTCATCAGTGATGGTTACAGTGACGCAACTCCTCGCAGATAACGTTTTCCTAAACGCTAAGACAAAACTTTTGAAATATATTATACATGAAAGGAGGTATTGAATGCTGATGCATATGTCCTCTAACATGTATAATTGTAGTGTTAAAATCATAATGTTACTTAAATGTGTTCCTGATAACATATAGATCTGCATATAAGTCAAGTGAAATAACGAATTCATATATTGATATGTAGACACATACAGTACGCCCATTTATCTCGTGTGTGAATTCGTTTCATTTTTTATTCGTAGGTTAAAACCTGGTTCCAGAATCGGCGAGCGAAATGGAGGCGCCTAAAACAGGTATGCAATAATACGGATAATTCAATGTACTTTGCTACGCATGTCCTCATATATAATGGTCCTGTGAAGATCCGGGTTAGAATTGGTCTTCAGCAACCCATGCTTGTCGTAAGAGGCGAGTAACGGGATCGGATGTTCAGACTCGCTGACTTGGTTAACACATGTCATCGTATCCCAGTTGCGTAGATCGATGCTCATGCTGTTGACCACTGGATTGTCTGGACGAGATTCGATTATTTACAGACCGCCGCCATATAGATGGAATATTACTGAGTGCAACGTTAAACAACAATAAACAAAAACAAACATAAGCGCTTTAAAGTTATCGGCTGTGTTATTAAATGGTCTCGCAATTCAAGTTTTTAACTGTTTAGATCTGCTTTTCAATTTTGCTTACAATGACACATGTCAATCATTTTTCAGGACACGCCCACGAGTGAAGATAACGAAAAACACGAGGCGGATGACAAACGAAAGGAAGTGACGTCAGCTGAGGGTGGCGCAGACGACTCTGAAATGGCGGGTCAGACGTCAGAAGATGAAGATGAACAATCTGATGATGAAATAGACGTGGAGAATGAGGCTGAGGGAACATGAAAAAGCGGGTATTAACTCAGAGCAGTTACGCTCCTGGAAAAGGGATTGTGCCATGGAAATATTTCATTGAGAAAACACATAGGCGTGAGTCAAATGCTGACGCCCACGTGACTTGACAGGAACTCTCGCGTGACTTAAACACCAAAGATGGTGGTGCATTGCACTGAGAGCAACTGTTCAAAAGTGCTGAAGCCCATATTACGGAAGAAATTAAGCCAAGTTGAAAGGCTATCGGAAGTGCTACATGTTCCTTGCCCTATATTCGGCAGAGGAAAAGGTAGCGAAACTAATAAGACGTGGAGTGCATTTTTATATATCAAATCCTGAATTGGGTCATTAGAAAACTATATTAAAATAAGAATAATTTATGATTTGAAGAAACGCAATGAGTCCATGCAATGCAGGTTGTTAAACACTCATGAAAACCTCCTTCTCCCGTTTTTTTGTCAATTTGACTTTTATTTGTGGTTTCGGCGGTTTGAGAACGAATGTGTTATTTTGCATTCTGTATGACAATGTCGTTCGGATAAAGAACGGATCATGAATCTCTTTAATGAATAACTGTCACTTAACGTAACTTAACGTCACTCAACGTCAGTCAATCAATGACGTGCTGTCGCAACACGCAATTAAAATAATACTTCATATGAAACACATTCCATTATGAACATGCCTTGTCAATTACATAGGCAGAATATAACATTTATAGCCAGTATATAACTGCTGTTTGATTTTAATTTATGCATAAAATATAAGCCTGTCATTTAAGCCGTCTCGTTAACGCTTTGCACCCAGAGCTTTGTTAAGCTTAAGCCGCTGCCATGTTTACTGTACATATTGTTTAGTGGTACAATGTTATCTGTGCTCGTCAGTTCTGAACCACCACACGATCCGCTTTAACATTGTCGTATGTGAAGGTATGAATGTAAATCTATGCAAGTTATGTATAATGTATGTAAATAAATTCTTTACTGGAGTCAGCCGTTGTTTTTATAGTGTTCGTGCGATTATGTATGGAAGGCTGGTTGTGCGAACTGTCCGGCGCTGCGTCATTGTTGAGGGGCGCCGTCATACCTGAGCCTGGTTCTCGCGAGATTCATCTTGACTCACGACGATGAACACGATGAAGCCAGAGGTCACATTAGACGTATAATAGCCTTAGAAATGTGAATCCATTGGGGCAATCGAACTCGGATTTTGTATTTGTGTGAGTGCGTGAAGTTTTTAAAGCTCTTCTACTCGGTGTAGAGGTATCAGTAGTTCTACGCGGTGTTAGTGGTACTAATAGACGTTGGGTAGAGGTATCAGTAGACGTGGTGTTAGTCGTATCAGTAGACGTGGTGTCAGTGGTACTATTAGACGTGGTGTCAATGGTACTGTTAGATGTGGTGTCAATGGTACTATTAGACGTGGTGTTAGTTGTACTATTAGACGTGGTGTCAGTGGTACTGTTAGACGTGGTGTTAGTTGTACTATTAGACGTGGTGTCAGTGGTACTGTTAGACGTGGTGTAGAGGATATCAGTAGACGTGGTATCAGTGGTACTATTAGACGTGGTGTCAATGGTACTATTAGACGTGGTGTCAATGGTACTGTTAGACGTGGTGTAGAGGATATCAGTAGACGTGGTATCAGTGGTACTATTAGACGTGGTGTCAATGGTACTGTTAGATGTGGTGTCAATGGTACTGTTAGACGTGGTGTTAGTTGTACTATTAGACGTGGTGTCACTGGAACTGTTAGACGTGGTGTAGAGGATATCAGTAGACGTGGTGTCAGTGGTACTATTAGACGTGGTGTCAGTGGTACTATTAGACGTGGTGTCAGTGGTACTATTAGACGTGGTGTCAGTGGTACTATTAGACGTGGTGTCAGTGGTACTGTTAGACGTGGTGTCAATGGTACTGTTAGATGTGGTGTCAGTGGTACTATTAGACGTGGTGTCAATGGTGCTGTTAGACGTGGTGTCATTGGTACTATTAGACGTGGTGTCAGTGGTACTATTAGACGTGGTGTCAGTGGTACTATTAGACGTGGTGTCAGTGGTACTATTAGACGTGGTGTCAATGGTACTGTTAGACGTGGTGTCAGTGGTACTATTAGACGGGGTGTCAGTGGTACTGTTAGACGTGGTGTAGAGGATATCAGTAGACGTGGTGTCAGTGGTACTATTAGACGTGGTGTCAATGGTACTGTTAGACGTGGTGTAGAGGATATCAGTAGACGTGGTGTTAGTCGTATCAGTAGACGTGGTGTTAGTGGTACTATTAGACGTAGTGTCAGTGGTACTATTAGACGTGGTGTAGAGGATATCAGCAGACGTGGTGTCAGTGGTACTATTAGACGTGGTGTCATTGGTACTATTAGACGTGGTGTCAATGATACTGTTAGACGTGGTGTTAGTGGAACTGTTAGACGTGGTGTAGAGGGTATCAGTAGACGTGGTGTCAGTGGTACTATTAGACGTGGTGTCAGTGGTACTATTAGACGTGGTGTAGAGGATATCAGTAGACGTGGTGTCAGTGGTACTATTAGACGTGGTGTCAATGGTACTGTTAGACGTGGTGTAGAGGATATCAGTAGACGTGGTGTTAGTCGTATCAGTAGACGTGGTGTTAGTGGTACTATTAGACGTAGTGTCAGTGGTACTATTAGACGTGGTGTAGAGGATATCAGCAGACGTGGTGTCAGTGGTACTATTAGACGTGGTGTCATTGGTACTATTAGACGTGGTGTCAATGATACTGTTAGACGTGGTGTTAGTGGAACTGTTAGACGTGGTGTAGAGGGTATCAGTAGACGTGGTGTCAGTGGTACTATTAGACGTGGTGTCAGTGGTACTATTAGACGTGGTGTAGAGGATATCAGTAGACGTGGTGTCAGTGGTACTATTAGACGTGGTGTCAGTGGAACTGTTAGACGTGGTGTAGAGGATATCAGAAGACGTGGTGTCAGTGGTACTATTAGACGTGGTGTCAGTGGTACTATTAGACGTGGTGTAGAGGATATCAGTAGACGTGGTGTCAGTGGTACTATTAGACGTGGTGTCAATGGTACTGTTAGATGTGGTGTCAATGGTACTATTAGATGTGGTGTCAATGGTACTATTAGACGTGGTGTCAATGGTACTGTTAGATGTGGTGTCAATGGTACTATTAGACGTGGTGTCAGTGGAACTGTTAAACGTGGTGAAGAGGGTATCAGTAGACGTGGTGTCAGTGGTACTGTTAGACGTGGTGTCAATGGTACTGTTAGACGTGGTGTAGAGGATATCAGTAGACGTGGTGTCAGTGGTACTATTAGACGTGGTGTCAGTGGTACTATTAGACGTGGTGTAGAGGATATCAGTAGACGTGGTGTCCATAGTACTATTAGACGTGGTGTAGAGATATTAGTAGACTTGGTGTCAGTAGACGTGGTGTTAGTGGTACTATTAGACGTAGTGTTAGTGGTAACATTAGACGTGTTAGTGGTAACATTAGACGTAGTGTTAGTGGTAACATTAGACAGTGTTAGTGGTAACATGACGTGTCAGTGGTAACATTAAACGTAGTTTTAGCGGTAACATTAGACGTGTCAGTGGTACCATTAGACGTGTTAGTTGTAACATTAGACGTGTTAGTGGTAACATTAGACGTGTTAGTGGTAACATATGACATAGTGTTAGTTGTAACAATAGACGTAGTGTTAGTGGTAACATATATGACATAGTGTTAGTGGTAACATCTGACGTGTCATTGGTAACATTAAACGTAGTTTTAGTGGTAACATTAGACGTGTTAGTGGTAACATTAGACGTGTTAGTGGTAACATTAGACGTGTCAGTGGTAACATCAGACATAGTGTTAGTTGTAACATTAGGCACATTCTTAGTGGTAACATTAAACGTAGTTTTAGTGGTAACATATGACGAGTCAGTGGTAACATTTGACGTAGTGTTTGTGGTAACATTAGACATAGTGTTATCGGTAACATGACGTGTCAGTGGTAACATTAGACGTAGTGTTAGTGGTAACATTAGACGTGTCAGTGGTAACCTCAGACATAGTGTTAGTGGTAACATTAGACGTGTCAGTGGTAACATCAGACATAGTGTTAGTTGTAACATTAGGCACATTCTTAGTGGTAACATTAAACATAGTTTTAGTGGTAACATATGACGAGTCAGTGGTAACATTAGACGTAGTTTTAGTGGTAACATTAGACGTAGTTTTAGTGGTAACATTAGACATAGTGTTAGTGGTAACATTAGACATAGTGTTAGTGGTAACATTAGATATAATGTTAGTGGTAACATGACGTGTCAGTGGTAACATTAGACGTAGTGTTAGTGGTAACATTAGACGTAGTGTTTGTGGTAACATTAGAAGGAGTGTTAGTGGTAACATGACGTGTCAGTGGTAACATTAAACGTGTTAGTGGTAACATTAGTCGTGTCAGTGGTAACATTAGACGTAGTGTTAGTGGTAACATTGGACATAGTGTTAGTGGTAACATTAAACGTGTTAGTGGTAACATTAGACGAGTCAGTGGTAACATTAGACATAGTGTGAGTGGTAACATTAGACATAGTGTTAGTGGTAACATTAAACGTGTTAGTGGTAACATTAGTCATGTCAGTGGTAACATTAAACATAGTGTTAGTGGTAACATTAGACATAGTGTTAGTGGTAACATTAAACGTGTTAGTGGTAACATTAGTCGTGTCAGTGGTAACATTAGACGTAGTGTTAGTGGTAACATTGGACGTAGTGTCAGTGGTAACATTAGACGTAGTGTTAGTGGTAACATTAGGCATAGTGTTAGTGGTAACATTAGACATAGTGTTAGTGGTAACATGACGTGTCAGTGGTAACATTAAACGTAGTTTTAGTAGGAACATCAGACGTGTCAGTGGTAACATCAGACATAGTGGAAGTTGTAACATCAGACGTGTTATTGGTAACATTAAACGTGTTAGTGGTAACATTAGACGTGTCAGTGGTAACATGAGACGTGTTAGTGGTAACATTAGACGTAGTGTTAGTGGTAACATTAGACATAGTGTTAGTTGTAACATGACGTGTCAGTGGTAACATTAAACGTAGTTTTAGTGGTAACATCGGACGTGTCAGTGGTAACATCAGACATAGTGTAAGTTGTAACATTAGACGTGTTAGTTGTAACATTAGACATAGTGTTAGTAGTAACATATGACGTGTCAGTGGTAACATTAGACGTAGTGTTAGTGGTAACATTTGACGTGTTAGTGATAATATTACACGTCGTGTTAGTGGTAACATTACACAACGTGTTAGTGACAACATTAGACGTATCAGTGGTAACATTACACGTCGTGTTAGTGTTAATATAAGACGAAGTGTTACTGGTAGACATAGTGTTAGTGGTAACATTAGACGTGTCAGTGGTAACATTAGACATAGTGTTAGTGGTAACATCAGACATAGTGTTAGTGGTAACATTAGACTGGTCAGTGGTAACATACGTCGTGTTAGTGGTAACATTAGACGTGTCAGTGGTAACATTAGACGTGTTAGTGGTAACATTAGACGAAGTGTTAGTAGCATTACACATAGTGTTAGTGACAACATTAGACGTATCGTTGGTAACACTACACGTCGTGTTATTGGTAACATTACACGAAGTGTTAGTGGCAACACTACACACAGTGTTAGTGGTAACATTAAACGTTTTAGTGGTAACATTAGACGAGTCAGTGGTAACATTAGACGTAGTGTTAGTGGTAACCGTGGACGTAGTGTTAGTGGTAAGATTAGACGTAGTGTTAGTGGTAACATTAGACATAGTGTTAGTGGTAACATTAGACATAGTGTTAGTGGTAACATGACGTGTCAGTGGTAACATTAAACGTGTCAGTGGTAACATCAGACATAGTGTAAGTTGTAACATCAGACGTGTTGGTGGTAACATTAAACGTGTAAGTGGTAACATTAGACGTGTCAGTGGTAACATTAGACGTGTAAGTTGTAACATTAGACGTAGTGTTAGTGGTAACATTAGACATAGTGTCAGTGGTAACATGACGTGTCAGTGGTAACATTAAACGAAGTTTTAGTGGTAACATCAGACGTGTCAGTGGTAACATCAGACAGTGTAAGTTGTAACATTAGACGTGTTAGTTGTAACATTAGACATAGTGTTAGTGGTAACATATGACGTGTCAGTGGTAACATTAGACGTAGTGCTAACGGTAACATTTGACGTGTTAGTGATAACATTACATGTCGTGTTAGTGGTGACATTTGACGTGTTAGTGATAACATTACACGTCGTGTTATTGGTAACATTAGACGAAGTGTTAGTGGTAACATTAGACGTGTTAGTGGTAACATTACACGTCGTGTTAGTGGTAACATTAGACGAAGTGTTAGTGGTAACATTAGACGTGTTAGTGGTAACATTAGACGTGTTAGTGGTAACATTAGACATAGTGTTAGTGGTAACATCAGACATAGTGTTAGTGGTAACATTAGACTGGTCAGTGGTAACATATGTAGTGTAAGTGGTAACATTAGACGTGTCAGTGGTAACATTAGATGTGTTAGTGGTAACATTAGACGTAGTGTTAGTGGTAACATTAGAGATAGTGTCAGTGGTAACATGACGTGTCAGTGGTAACATTAAACGTAGTTTTAGTGGTAACATCAGACGTGTCAGTGGTAACATCAGACAGTGTAAGTTGTAACATTAGACATAGTGTTAGTAGTCAGTGGTAACATTAGACGTAGTGCTAGTGGTAGCATTTGACGTGTTAGTGATAACATTACACGTCGTGTTAGTGGTAACATTTGACGTGTTAGTGATAACATTACACGTCGTGTTATTGGTAACATTAGACGAAGTGTTAGTGGTAACATTAGACGTGTTAGTGGTAACATTAGACGTGTAAGTGATAACATTACACGTCGTGTTAGTGGTAACATTAGACGAAGTGTTAGTGGTAACATTAGACGTGTTAGTGGTAACATTAGACGTGTTAGTGGTAACATTACACGTCATGTTAGTGGTAGCATTACACAAAGTGTTAGTGACAACATTAGACGTGTCAGTGGTAACATTAGACGTGTAAGTGGTAACATTAGACGAAGTGTTAGTGACAACATTAGACGTATCGTTGGTAACACTACACGTCGTGTTATTGGTAACATTACACGAAGTGTTAGTGGCAACACTACACGCAGTGTTAGTGGTAACATTACACGCAGTGTTAGCGGTAACATTAGAAGTGTCAGTGGTAACATTAGACGTGTTAGTGGTAACATTGGACGTGTTAGTGGTAACATTAGACGAAGTGTTAGTGGTAACATTAGACGTGTCAGTGGTAACATCAGACATAGTGTTAGTTGTAACATTAGACGTGTTAGTGGTAGCATCAGACATAGTGTTAGTGGTAACATTAGACGTGTAAGTGGTAACATCAGACATAGTGTAAGTGGTAACATTAGACGTGGTAGTGGTAACATTAGACATAGTGTTACTGGAAACATTAGACGTGATAGTGGTAACATTAGACATAGTGTTAGTGGTAACATTAGACGTGTCAGTGGTAACATAAACGTATTGCTAGTGGTAACATTAGCATGTGTGGTAACACGTAGACGTCAGGCGTGGTGTTTAACCAGAGGTAGCATTACATGTATTTAGAGGTAACATTAGACGTGTCAGTGGTAACATCAGAGATAGTGTTAGAGGTAACACTAGACGTGTCAGTGGTAACATTAGCCGTAGTGTTAGTGGTAACACAAGACGCAGCGTTATTGGTAACATATGACATAGTGTTAAAACAAGCGTCAGACATAGTGTCATAGCTTTCGATGTAGTGTCAGTGGTAAGTTAAGGCGAAGTGTAAGATTAAAGACAAATCGTATGTTAAGCGTATTGCAAGGGTAACATTAGATGTGTTGATATTAGACATGGTGCAAAGATAACATTAGATGTGTTGATATTAGACATGGTGCAAGGTGGTATTAGATGTGTTGATATTAGACATGGTGCGAGGGTAACATTATATGTGTTGATATTAGACATGGTGCAAGTGTAACATTAGATGTGTTGATATTAGACATGGTGCGAGGGTAACATTATATGTGTTGATATTAGACATGGTGCAAGGGTAACATTAGATGTGTTGATATTAGACATGGTGCAAGGGTAACATTAGATGTGTTGAGATTAGACACGGTGCAAGGGTAACATTAGATGTGTTGATATTAGACATGGTGCACGGGTAACGTTAGATGTGTTGATATTAGACATGGTGCAAGGTGGTATTAGATGTGTTGATATTAGACACGGTGCAAGGTGGTATTAGATGTGTTGATATTAGACATGGTGCAAGGTGGT